ACGACTTTATTTCGGCGTCGTCGTCGCCCCCCCCTCTCCCTCTCCTCGGCAGCCCAGCGCGCTGCCCCCTCCGCCCCGACCACTTTATTTCGGCGTTGTGTCGACATGTGTCGCTATGTGTCGCTCCCCAGCACCCCAGCGCACCGCCCCCTCCGCCCCGACGACTTTATTTCGGCGTCGTCGTCGCCCCCCCCCCTCTCCCTCTCCTCAGCAGCCCAGCGCGCTGCCCCCTCCGCCCCGACCACTTTATTTCGGCGTCGTCGTCGCCCCCCCGGTCCTTTTCCCCAGCAGCCATGCGCACCGCCTTCTCCGCCCCGACCACTTTATTTCGGCGTCGTCGTCGCCCTATTTCGGCGTTGTGTCGCCATGTGTCGCTTTCCCCAGCAGCCCAGCGCACCGCCCTCTCCGCCCCGACCACTTTATTTCGGCGTCGTCGTCGCCCTATTTCGGCGTTGTGTCGACTGTGTCGCTATGTCGTCTGTCTTCCCCAGCAGCCCAGCGCGCCGCCCTCCCCGCCCGCCCCGACACTTTATTTTCGGCGTCGCGACTCCCCCCCCCGTCCCTTCCGAGCAGCCAGCGCCCGCGCCGCCCCGTCGGTCGCCCCGACCACTTTAAATTTCGGCGTCCGTCGTCGCCCCCCCCTTCCCTCTTCTCCTCAGCATCCAGCCCTGCGCACCGCCCCCTCCGCCCTTTTCATTTCTTTCTGTCGCAGGGTGTCTAGAGCTCCGACCATTTTATTTCGCGCGCTCCGCCCCCCCCCCCGCCCCCATCCCCCCCCCCCCCCCCCCCCCCCCCCCCCCCCCCCGCGTCCTCAGCGCCAGAGTGGGGCCCCCGCGCCGTGGCTCTCTGCCCCAAGCCCCCCGCGTCCCCAGCGCCCCAGCGGGGGCCCCGCCCACTGCCCCCTCCGCCACGAACGCTTTATCCCGCGTCGCCCCCCCCGCCCCCCCGCGTCCCCAGCGCCAGTGTGAGGCCCCCGCGCCGTGGCTTTCTGCCCCGAGCCCACCGCGTCCCCAGCGCCCCAGCGGGGGCCCCGCCCACTGCCCCCTCCGCCACGAACGTTTCTCCCGCGTCGCAGCTCCCCCCCCCGCGTCCCCAGCGCCAGTGTGGGACCCCGCGCCGTGGCTCTCTGCCCCAAGCCCCACCGCGTCCCCAGCGCCCCAGCGGGGCCCCCGCCCACTGCCCCCTCCGACACGAACGCTGTATTACGCGTCGCCCCCCCCCCCCTCCGCGTCCCCAGCGCCAGAGTGGGACCCCCGCGCCGTGGTTCTCTGCCCCGAGCCCCCCCGCGTCCCCAGCGCCCCAGCGGGGGCCCCGCCCACTGCCCCTTCCGCCACTAACGCTTCATCCCGCGTCGCGCCGCACACCACCTCCCCCACCTCCCTCCCCGCGCCCCCAGCGCCCCAGTGGGGACTCCGCCCCGTGCCCCCTCCGCCCCGACAATTTTATTCCGCGCCGCGACGCACGCCACCTCCCCCCTTTCCCCCCCTTTCCCCAGCGCCCCAGTTGTACCCCCGCCCCGTGGCCCTCTGCCCCAAGCCCCGCCCAATGCCCCCTCCGCCCCGGCAGTTTATTCCGCGTCGCGGCACACACCACCCCCCCTCCTCTCCGCGCCCCCAGCGCCCCAGTGGGACCTCCGCCCCGTGTTCCCTCCGCCCCGAGCACTTTATTCCGCGTCGCGACGCACGCCGCCTCCCCCACCCTCCCCACCTGGGGCTTGGGCCCCGTTGCTGGGCCCTGAGGGCGATGCCTTGCCCCCTCTTCCCCCCTTTTCCTCCACCTCCTCCTCCTCCTCCTCCTCCTCCTCCTCCTCCTCCTCCTCCTCCTCCCCGTTCCTTTTTTGTGCAAGGGCTATGGCACACGTGCCACTTGTTTTCGCTTTGGCTGGCGCGCTGAGGAGGTCCCCGGGGAAGGGGGGAGCTTCGACGAGCCCAGTGAAAGGGGGGAGGCAGGGAAAGGGGACGACAAAGAAAGAAAGAAAGAGAGAGAGAGAGAGAGAAAAACATATTCCAGATTTAGCCGGTTATGGCCCTATTCCGATTGGAACACAATTGACATTTCACTGGGGTGGAGCAGTAGTAGCATCAGCGAAATAGAATTGAGCGGATCCCATATCCAGCTGATTCCAAACATATTCATTCTGGAATTAAAGTAGAGAAAACTTGGGGTGGAGAAGCTAGCATACCCAGACGTGTCAACTCTGGTTACACTACATATTTATATGTATATCTATATATATATGTATGTATGTATATCATGTAAGTCGGCTTAAAACCGAGGAGGTATCTTGCTGATTCCGATATGATTTTCTTTGGAACATGGGCACATCCCAGATCCAGCTGAGTCACAGTTGAGCGAGTTATCATCACATTGAAACTGGGCAGACCACAGGTTCAGCTGATTCCAAATCGATTCCAATTGAAAGTGAATTATCATCACATTGGAATTGAGCAGATCCCAGACCCAGCATATTCCAATTCGATTCCTCTTCTCTATCCGAATTAGAAAATAAGTGGAACGTAGCAGATGCCAGATACAGCTGTTTCCAATTGGGTTCTTTTTGGGCTCGAATTTGAGTTTAATTCGAAGTGGACTGTAATAGTTTTGAGATCGTGTTGACAGTGAGCAGATCGCAGATCCAGCTGATTCCAGTGTGCTTCCTTTTGAAATCGAATTTGAATAATGGAAAATGAGCGGATCCCAGATCTAGTTGTGTCCAAATGGATTCCGATTGAAAGCGAATTAGAGTCTCAGTGGAGTTGAGCAGATCCCTATTCCAGATGATTCCACTGAGACCCCAGCACAAGAAAACAGCGAAGACATGACGAAGAGGACAGATTTGATGAGCAGGTACGGATGAAAAGAACGTGGATGATCAGCAAGAATACGAATCGAGAGTTGGACTATTGCCGCACAATTAATTTGTGTTGGGGGATTGCGCACATCTATGTATATAATTCATTCCTATTTTTATTCATATATAGACATATACATGTGTGTAGATATAGTCACATATATACAAACACACATACATATACGTACCTACACATTCATATGCACATACATGAACATGTCTACGCACGTGTGTGGGGCGGCCTGGCCGCGCGGGCCCGCCCGCTTCCGCTGCCTTCCGCTCGCTCCGCCCCGTCGCTGCGCGCGATAGCCGCGACAATGTCTCTGTGTGTTCTAATGTGTGTATGTGTGCGTGTGTGGAGATCATGGCGGTTGCCACGATCGGGTGTCGCTAGAAGTGCCCTTGGTCCAAGGCCCCCCAGCCTTCCGCTCCATTGTTGGGCCCCCGGGACCCTCTGGGCCTCGTCAGGGGTGCTCTGGAGGCTTCTGGGACACCCCGAGAATCTCGGGGGCACCTTGGGCCAGGGGCACTTCTAGCGACACCCGACATGAGATCTCCCATATGTCAGGGCCCCCCCTCTCCTTTCAGCACATTCGATGGCCCGCGTCCGCGCGCATGCCGACCACGGATTGCCGACACCCCCTCTCCCAAGCCTCCCCCCCGAGAGGAGGACCGCGAGAGCCGCACCCTCGCGTCCACGCCCGGATGCACGGAGTCGGGCTGCGAGACCGACCCTATCGAGCGGTATTCTCAGGAGCGGTTGGACCGACATTTTAGGCCCTTGGTGGGCCCTCTCCAGGCTTCTGAAGCTTTCGACGAAGAGTAAACGCCAGACATAGAAATGTTCGGAGTTCCGCGAAGATTTCTAGCATCTGCACTGGACCCCTTGGCGGCGCCTCAGCCGCCGCCCTTGGCGCGCTGCTCCGGCTAAGGTGGGGTTGTCCAGCGCCGAGCGAAGAAATTCTTTACGCTTCGCGTATCCCCACCAGCCCATCTCACAGCAGCAACTCTTGCGAAGCATGCCGACAGTCGTGTTTTTCAGGCGTGTGTCCGCTTGGCCCCGCATATCTCCCCTGTTCCTCCTTCCTCCCGCCTCCTTGTACATCCTCCTTGTGGGGGGAGCGGGAGAAGGACGAGGCGGAGGAGGAGGGAGAGAAAGCGCTCCTCGTGATTTGAGTCGTTTGGGGTTTCTCGTCCTGGTGTGAGTCGTTCGGGCCCTTCTTCCTGGTGTGAGTCGTTCGGGCTCTTCGTGGTGTGAGTCGTTCGGGCTCTTCGTCCTGGTGTGAGTCGTTCGGGCTTCTCGTGGTGTGAGTTGTTCGGGCCCCTCATCCTGGTGTGAGTCGTTCGGGCCCCTCCTCCTGGTGTGACTCGTTCGGGCTCCTCGTGGTGTGAGTCGTTCGGGGCCCGCGTCGTGGTGTGAGTCGTTCGGGCTCCTCGTGGTGTGAGTCTCGGGCGCCTCGTGGTGAGTCGTTCGGGCCCCTCCTTGTGGTGTGAGTCGTTCGGGCTCTTCGTGGTGTGAGTCGTTCGGGCCCCTCGTCCTGGTGTGAGTCGTTCGGGCTCCTCGTTGGGCCTCTTAGGGGGCCTCTTGGAGCCTCTTGGGGCCTCTTGGGTGCCTCTTGGGGGCCTCTGGGGAGCCTCTTGGGGGCCTCTTGGAGCCTCTTGGGGCCTCTTGGGGGCCTCTTGGGAACCTCGAGGGGACCTCTAGGGGCCTCTGGGGGGCCTCTTGGGGGCCTCCTGGAGGCCTCTTGGGAGCCTCCTGGGGGCCTCTTGGGGCTATCTTGGGGTCTCTTGCGACCTCCTCAGAAGCGCTAATAAGCGCTGACCCCTGAGAAGGACAAAATCAGCCCAAAACCTTCGTAAAATCAATGATTTTGCTAAGCAGGAAGAGGAACGCGGCCCCCTCAGAAGGCCAAAATGGGGCCAAAACCGTAGTAAAATCAATGTTTTTTACTTCAACGACGAGTTCAGGCGCCAAACTCCCCCCCCTCGGGGCCAGAATCCTCGTTTTTTGGCCCTCCCAGGAGTCGAAAAAGACCCCTCCAACCACCCGCGGGGCCCCCTCTCCAGGTCCAGGGGGAGGGGGTAGGGGGAGGGGTAAACCCCTCCCCGAAGGGGAAGAAGGGGGGTTGGGGGGTTGAGGACAGAGAAAGCTCGCTAAACCACTCACGCCCAAAGGGCTGGTGGGATTAGCGCGGACCTCCGAAAGTTGATGGTCATGCAGATGCAAGTTCCTCTCGCATCACGCATCCTGAGAGCCCCAGGGACCTTCGAATGCGCTTGGAGACCTCTGCAAAGGCCTCCGCGGCGCCCTCTGCGGAAACCCCTTCGGGCCTCCGGCGAGGTACAACCACGTCCGACGGTGGCAGAGGCGCCTCCGCAGCATTCAGCAGAGGCTGCACCAGAGCAGAGGCTCCGCCGCGGGCTTCGGCGAGGGTGCCTCCGACCAGCCGCAAACCATGCGGGGCCCCAGAAGGCGCATCGGCAGCATGGCCCGGAAGCTCCGCGAGGGCCCGAAGAAGGTGGTCGGCACCATGCGGGAAAGGCAGCAGGTGCTCCAGCAGGAGTACCAGAGGCAGGTGCTGGAGCTGAAGGGCCGTCTCGACCAGGGCCTGTCGAGGGCGCGGTCATCCAGGGCCAGGCAGCTGCGCCACATGGTCTGCTTCGTCTGCTCCATGGCCGACGTGGTGGTCACGTCGATCTGGCTGGGTGCGTCGCCGTGGACACTCCACTGGTACTACACGATCAAGCTGTCGGGGCTCATCGTTGGCCGGGCCGTGTGGTACCGCTGGCACGGCTGGCACTATTTCTTGTATGATCTGTGCTATTTTAGCAACCTCGTTCTGCTGGTCTACATCTGGGTCCTGCCGAACAGCGAGGTGCTCTTCGAGGCGGCGTACGGGCTGAGCGGCGTCCTGATGGTCTCCATCCCCGTGTTCCGAAACTCATTCGTGCCGCACTCCCTGGACCGCATCACATCGTTGCACATTCACTTGGGCCCGGCGCTGCAGCTTTATGTCCTCCGCTGGTACTCGAACGGGCGCCCAGTATGGTGGTCGGAGACATGCCCCAGCGGAGGACTGCCCGCGGAAGAGGTGCGGAGCTGGTTCGGCCTGGCGGGCGCACCCTGCGTTTTCAGGATACCCGACGCGTACTCCGTGCTCCCCAGCCTGTGCGTGTACGCGGTGTTCATCGTGGGCTATTGCGTCAACCAGTTCTTCTGGAATCGCAAGACGATCGATAGAAGGGGTTACGCCACTCTCTATCATCACATGGCCTACGACATGGGCATCATCAACAGGCTGCCCACCAGGCTGCGGGGGCCGTGCGCCAGCCGCTGCGTCTTCGTGGTGGGCCACTTCCTGCTTTTCTGCGCCGGGCTGCCAGTCGTCCACGCCCCTTGTCTGCTCCACACGGCTCTGCTGTGCGTCGTGACGGCGTGGGCCCTCTGGAACGGGGCCTCCTTCTACATCACGTACTTCTGGAGGGTGTACGAGGAGCAGATCCACGCCTTCGAGAGGCAGATGGCGGAGGCGGCCTCCAAGTCAGCGCACCCGGACGTCCAGGAGGCGCCCCTCACCCCGCGCGGCGGCCGCTGCACGGACACCTCCACGGAGCCGCCGAAGACCAGCGAGGACCCCACCAGCCCGACAGACGCCGACGACGAGGGCACCGACGCAGGCCCTCAGCCCGACGGCCCCGACAAGACTGCCTGAGGGGCGCCGCTTCGCGGCGCCCGCGTCGGGGGCCGCAGATCCGACGTGGGTGGCCCTCGGCGCCAGGGGTGCCGAACCCCCTCGGGAGCCCTGAGACGGGGGTCAATGCAAACGGGGGTCAGCCAGAGCGCCGGATCTTGCCGGACCCTGCAGGGCCAGGGTCGCATTGACCCGGGTCTGGGGTTTGGGCGCAGGGTCCTGCAGGATCCTTCGCATGGGCCCAGGTTTTGGGTGCAGGATCTTGCAATGGCCTGACTGACCCGGGGCGGGATTGACCCGGGTCAGAAGATCCCCGACCCCGTCGCGCTTCTCGTCTCCCCGCCTCCGCCCCAGCCTTTGAGTCCCCGAGGCGCCCTGGTCGCAGGGTCGGGCATGCCCGACGTGACCAGGGTGCAGGTCCTGGTAGCAAAGCCCATGCAAACGGGGCGTTAGCAAACTGGGCGGCAGCTAAGGGGCCTCGTCAAGCGAGAGCGAGCGGGGCGACAGGGCTGTTGCCTCGCACGGCAAAAACAAAAACATCGGTACGACATCGGCGAGATGAATCGGGACGACAAAAACACCGGAACATCATCATAACTCTGGGCGGGGGGGGTACCTCGCACTTTGGCGCGGAAGACCTTTTTTTGAAAGCACCATTGAGAACGCACCCTCAGCTGCCGGCCCGTTTACTGACGCCCCGTTGGCAGGGGCCTGGGATCGTCGGCGCTGCGCCGAGCTGGGAAGTGAGAGTGGGCAGGCCTCCTCAGATGGCGGGGGGTAGCTTCTCAGACGCCCCCAGGCCGCCAGGGAAGCCTCCCGGCGTCCTCGGGGAAGGCTCAGAGAGTTCCTCGGGATGCCAGAGGCCTTCCGAGCGCCTGCTCTCAGAGGAGGCCCGGTCCCTCTCCCCTCCCCCCTGGGGAGCGCCGCCGAGGGTAGTCAGGAAGGGGAACAAAAACATACAGACGAAGAATCGCTGAGCCCCAGAAGAATATGAGAAAAAATGGGAAGGGGAGGGGGGAAGACGAGAATCCAGAAAATGTTAAAAAATGGGGGATCCTGGGACTCGTGTGTGTGTATTTTGTGTGTCCTTGGGCCCATGGAGTGAGGCACTCGGCCAGAGGGTCGCTCCTTGCTCCAGGGCGGCGGTGGCGCTTTCGGCCCCTTCAGGGCCGCCTTGTGCTGCCCTCGCAGGCCGTGGGCCGCGAAATTGGCGCGTCCTTCTTGGACCGCTCCTATTTTTATATAAAGTGCAGCTCGCGTTTTTAGGCAACGTGCTTGTATTGTTTATTTTCCCTGGTAGATCACGAGCGCCGACCGGGGGGAATGGCTCGGGGGGGAAGCGTCGACGCCCATGGGGGCCACTGCGGCTGTGGATGCAGGCGCGCGTCCAAGATGAACTTGGACTCAGAAGTGGATTAGCGTCAAGTCGGGCCTGCCCCTCTACAGGGGCAATGTTCAATTATAGTTTAGGAATAGTGTGGGAACCATTGTTTGAGCATGGTTTTTAACATGATAAATGATGTTGAGTATGTTTTATTATTCGTTGAAAGACCCCCTGTAGGGGGACACGCCCGACTCGAGATTGGCGGCGGTTCCCGATGCCGGACAGAATCGGCGCGCTCCGTCGCCCAATCAGGCGGCAGTGGCTCCGTTATCCCTGGCTCTGGGGCCCATGCGCCAGGTCCACGGATCCTCCCCCTCCTCCCCCTCCTCCTCCTCCTCCTCCTCCTCCTCCTCCCCCTCCGTCTCCTCCTCCTCCTCCCCCTCCCCCTCCCCCTCCCCCTCCCCTCCTCCCCCCCTCCTCCTCCTCCTCCTCCTTCTCCTCCTCCTTCTCCTCCTCCTCCTCCTCCTCCTCCTCCTCCTCCTCCTCCTCCTCCTCCTCCTCCTCCTCCCCCCTGCCCCTCCCCCTCCTCCCTCCTCCTCCTCCTCCTCCTCCTCCTCCTCCTCCTCCTCCTCCTCCTCGTCCTCCTCCTCCTCCTCCTCCTCCTCCTCCTCCCCCTCCTCTCCCTCCTCCTCCTCCTCCTCCGACACCCCATCGCCCATTCCCTGCCAATCGGGGCCCCGGTGCCGCAGTCCGCCAGGGGAACGCGAGGGTTCCCCCATCGGAGGCCCATCGCCGGTCCATCGGCGACGTATCACCGATTGCAGATCAATGCCCCCTCCCCCGAGCCAGCCTCCCCCCCCTCTCGTGCCCCGCCGCAGAGAGCGCCTGGACAGAGCTCCTGCGCGCGGCACCGGTCTCGTGGTCCCGCTCTCCCGCTCGACGGTTCGAGTAGGGGATGGACTGCAGAATTCATTGCTCCTGGCAGTGGTTCTGTCGTCGGACCCACCAGATATGCGCAGAATGTTCGCAGACCCGCAGAGATTTGACGATAGTCATCTCGATCTCCTACTCGAATGGTGCCCCCTTCGCCCGTGCGTCGCCGCGCGGCGGCGAGGTGCACCGCAACACAGGCGGCGCCTGGCGCCGCAGACCGTTCTAGGTGGCCGCCAGCGCCGCCGACCCGTCTCCAGTCGTGTGTTTTGCAGTGGTGTGGCGGTAACCGGGGCGACTCCTTGAGATCTTGGCGCTGCAGTTTTTGTCACAGAGGGCTTCTTCGCCTGGTTTCGAGCCCCTGGGACCCTGACAGATCGATCGGGCTTGAAAAGATGACGAAGAAAGATGGGGGGTCTGGTGCCCCCACCTGTGACTTTCTGCGGTGCTGCACTGTTTAGCAGCGTCGGACCTCAGGATTCGACACTTGCAGGAAAGTGTCCCTGGAAGGGTCGTGGAGGAGCACCCATCAGGGGCAACCGCAGGAGGGGATAGGCATAAGGGGGATGCATCGACCTCCAATCGCCCATCGATCGCCGATAGGGGCTCGATAGCCCCAACCTGCCCAGGAAGGTGCGGATTCACTATTGGAGGCTTATCGCGGAACTATCGGCAATGTATAGCCGATTCCATGTCGATGCATCCCCCTCTGCCAGTCCCCCCTTATTGTTGCCCTTGAAGAAGATGCACGAAAGGTGCACCTCTCTTGACCCCCGCGCTTATTGCCCCCCTCCATGGAGTAAGCAGCGCCCTATCCAGATCTCCGCCGGCATGATCTGCTCCATCCTGGCGTGTTCCCTCGAGTTCGGCCTCTAGGGCGCTGGTCGGGTCCTGGGGCTAACTTCAGATGAATTCGGGACGAAACAACTACAGTTCACGCGGCGATGGCGCGCCGGCGAGGCCGGCGAAGGCGTTCACGGTTGAATTTCGTATGATAGAACGGCGCGGCAGCATTGAGGGACACGGTAACGCCACAGGACCCGACGGAATGCAACTTTGAAGGGTCGGGGCCGCAATCGGTTCAAGGTTAAACGATCGACGTGAGGCAGTGGCTTTTGCGCGGGCCGACGATGCACGAACCTTCTGTATTAAGGACGATCCAGTTTCCAAAGTTACCCTTGCATCGTTCCCCTGAGGTCCATC